TATAGACTAGACTATAGACTAGACTATAGACTAGACTATAGACTAGACTATAGACTAGACTATAGACTAGACTATAGACTAGACTATAGACTAGACTATAGACTAGACTATAGACTAGACTATAGACTAGACTATAGACTAGACTATAGACTAGACTATAGACTAGACTATAGACTAGACTATAGACTAGACTATAGACTAGACTATAGACTAGACTATAGACTAGACTATAGACTAGACTATAGACTAGACTATAGACTAGACTATAGACTAGACTATAGGCTAGACTATAGACTATAGACTAGTTTATAGACTAGACTATAGACTAGACTATAGACTAGACTATAGATAGACTATAGACTAGACTATAGACTAGACTATAGACTAGACTATAGACTAGACTATAGACTAGACTATAGACTAGACTATAGACTAGACTATAGACTAGACTATAGACTAGACTATAGACTAGACTATAGACTAGACTATAGACTAGACTATAGACTAGACTATAGACTAGACTATAGACTAGACTATAGACTAGACTATAGACTAGACTATAGACTAGACTATAGACTAGACTATAGACTAGACTATAGACTAGACTATAGACTAGACTATAGACTAGACTATGGACTAGACTATAGACTAGACTATAGACTAGACTATAGACTAGACAATAGACTAGACTATAGACTAGACTATAGACTAGACTATAGACTAGACTATAGACTAGACTATAGACTAGACTATAGACTAGACTATAGACTAGACTATAGACTAGACTATAGACTAGACTATAGACTAGACTATAGACTAGACTATAGACTAGACTATAGACTAGACTATAGACTAGACTATAGACTAGACTATAGACTAGACTATAGACTAGACTATAGACTAGACTATAGACTAGACTATAGACTAGACTATAGACTAGACTATAGACTAGACTATAGACTAGACTATAGACTAGACTATAGAATTGGCTATAGACAAGACTATAGGCTAGACTGTAGACTAGACTATAGTCCAGATTAGATTAAAAGCTAGTATATAGATCAGACTGTGGGCTTGACTATATATCTACTAGACTATTTACTAAACTATGGACCAGTTTATCGTCCAGACTGTAGACTTGACTGTAGTCCAAACTATAGTTCACACTATAAATTAGAGCTGGACTAGAATTGTTTATCTTAACCCATAGTGCATGTTGCTAGATCTACTTACTAATACATTGGTTCGTTAGCTTGGTTTTTATTCTTCTACAATTTGGCTGATTGTTTGTCTGGTTGGCTGGCTGTTTGGTTAGTTGCCTAAGTATGAGTTGACATGAGTATGTGAGTCATGTGTGTGTGTGTGTGTATATATCCTCTTCGTCGCCAACAATACTACCAAAGGTAATGGTATGAGTGGTGGTATGAGTAAGTGTTAGTGGTAGTGTCAGTAATACATTTATTTCACTACTAGTATACGAGCTAGTGTCGTCTATGCTTTTTGGTAAAAAGCGTTAAGGGAATAAATACTTACATTTGGCTATAGGACATCCATCCAGCTAGCAAACAATTCGTTTATAATTGTTTTTGTTGTTTGCTGCTGTTGTTGTGGTTCTGTTGTTGTTGTTGTTTTTGTTATTTCGGTTGTATTTCTTGTGTTTTTACAAGAAATATTTTTTTAGTATTTTATTAGCGCTCTAGCGGTAAACACTCAGTTATTATTATTTTCCACTTTAAATGTGTTGTAAAATCCATAAAATCATTGCTCTACAAATAAACGTATTATTGTCTTGGAAGATTTTAAAATAGTCGCGCAAAAAAAGGTTTTTGACCAATAAACAAACAAAAAAGGGAGTTTTTTAAACGATTTTAAGTAAATATTTACAGAGAAAAGAAAAACTAATAGTTTTTAATTAAAATGTAAATTTAAAATAAAATTAACGCGCAATTATCATGCATTACTAACGTGTGTGATGTCATGACATACCATAGTAATTACACTGGGGAGCTATTATCTATTAAACTAAAGTTTGTGTGTATAAGTGAATTAAGAAAAATTTTAAATAATTAATAGTTTTTAATGATTTAAATATATGCTAAAGTCCTTCATAAAAGTTTGTAAAAAAAAAAGTTATAACAAATGTGGTTTAAAAATCCTTGAGAAAAAAATTTTAAAATTAAATAAATTTAAAATCGGCAGTTAATCTTTAAATATCGTTCCAATTAAGAAAAAACCTATAATATATGATCATCTATATTTTCTAACAAAAAATGCAAAAGTGAAAAGTAAAACTACATCACACACGTTAAGAATATTAATTCAGAATTCCATAAAGTCATTCCCAAGATTCAAATAAATTGAGTTTTTCAAGAATCTTGTTCGATATAAAGTGATCAAAAGAAACTGATCTAAACTATCTACAATATCTCTATACTTGTTTTACTTACAGTTTTTTTCTTTGATCCATAACATGTCATTTTATCGCCCCTGTTGAAATTAGAAAATCTCTCAACAAAACCCATCATGAGTTTGGATCATATACCGGAAGAGAAACGTTATAATAAAAATAATATTGTAGCCAAATGGTGTGCACCGATAAATGGTAAAATGTATCGATTGAACTGGAACATGGCACAACCAGTGGCAGACGTATGATATGGGTAATGGCAAGGTTAGAGGCATTAAGTGGCAAAAATCTTTTTTCTACATTATACTAAACTTTTTCACAATTTAGGAAGTCTTAAGACGTGACTGGATGTTTAAGTTGGTGGGTGAAGATACTTTTATATAAATGATGCCCGCTGTATTATACGTGTCGATCCGGCGCCCGGTTTCAAATATGAATATCTTCTTTTTATTGATGGCAAATCTCATGATCAGTATACCGAGGAACAGACAAAACAATATCGTTTATGGGTTACAACTATAAATGGTGTAGAATATCGGATTATGCTGGAATTGGATACATTGAATTTATTCATCAATGATAAACTACGGAATGAAACGGTAGATAGAAGTAGAACGGAAATAGAACAGAACTAGAACAGAACTGGAACAGAACTAGAACAGAACTAGAACAGAACTAGAACAGAACTAGAACAGAACTAGAACAGAACAGAACTAGAACAGAAACTGGAACAGAACTAGAACAGAACTAGAACAGAACTAGAACAGAACTAGAACAGAACTAGAACAGAACTAGAACAGAACTAGAACAGAACTAGAACAGAACTAGAACAGAACTAGAACAGAACTAGAACAGAACTAGAACAAAACTAGAACAGAACTAGAACAGAACTAGAACAGAACTAGAACAGAACTAGAACAGAACTAGAACAGAACTAGAACAGAACTAGAACAGAACTAGAACAGAACTAGAACAGAACTAGAACAGAACTAGAACAGAACTAGAACAGAACTAGAACAGAACTAGAACAGAACTAGAACAGAACTAGAACAGAACTAGAACAGAACTAGAACAGAACTAGAACAGAACTAGAACAGAACTAGAACAGAACTAGAACAGAACTAGAACAGAACTAGAACAGAACTAGAACAGAACTAGAACAGAACTAGAACAGAACTAGAACAGAACTAGAACAGAACTAGAACAGAACTAGAACAGAACTAGAACAGAACTAGAACAGAACTAGAACAGAACTAGAACAGAACTAGAAACAGAACTAGAACAGAACTAGAACAGAACAGAACTAGAACAGAACTAGAACAGAACTAGAACAGAACTAGAACAGAACTAGAACAGAACTAGAACAGAACTAGAACAGAACTAGAACAGAACTAGAACATAACTAGAACATAACTAGAAAAGAACTAGAACAGAACTAGAACTAGAACAGACCTAGAACAGAACTAGAACAGAACTAGAACAGAACTAGAACAGAACTAGAACAGAACTAGAACAGAACTAGAACAGAACTAGAACAGAACTAGAACAGAACTAGAACAGAACTAGAACAGAACTAGAACAGAACTAGAACAGAACTAGAACAGAACTAGAACAGAACTAGAACAGAACTAGAACAGAACTAGAATAGAACTAGAACAGAACTAGAACAGAACTAGAACAGAACTAGAACAGAACTAGAACAGAACTAGAACAGAACTAGAACAGAACTAGAACAGAACTAGAACAGAACTAGAACAGAACTAGAACAGAACTAGAACAGAACTAGAACAGAACTAGAACAGAACTAGAACAGAACTAGAACAGAACTAGAACAGAACTAGAACAGAACTAGAACAGAATTAGAACAGAACTAGAATAGAACTAGAACAGAACTAGAACAGAACTAGAACAGAACTAGAACAGAACTAGAACAGAACTAGAACAGAACTAGAACAGAACTAGAACAGAACTAGAACAGAATTAGAACAGAACTAGAACAGAACTAGAACAGAACTAGAACAGAACTAGAACAGAACTAGAACAGAACTAGAACAGAACTAGAACCATAGTAGAACTAAACTAGGACTGAACTAGATATGTACTGGAGCTAAACGATAAGTGGAACTAAACTGGACTAGTAAAGACCTCGAACTATACTTCAACTGATCTGGACTTGATCTAAAGCAAATTACATTTTAATCTATTTCAGGCCGAATTTGTCGACGGTGGCACCGATACTGTGGTCCATGAAAACGATGTTGAATTTCGCCTGCAGACACGTTCCAGCGGCCATAAGCTTAGTGGTATTGTACACACTCTGCTGGCCAATCAAGTAGAAATACCCGAAGCAAAGATTCAAGAAATAATGCAGGAGCCCTGTTCGATACTATCGACATAAGAAAGTTAAAGCTTTATAAAATCAAATTAAAAAAAATAACAACAAAATGTGATCTTTTTAAGTGTAATTATTAATTAAAAATAAATATATTAGAAATAAAGTTAAATTAGTTATATACTTATAAATAGTTTAATTATTAACGATATAAACAAATTAATGGCAACAAGAGATAAATTCTCCATAACTTGCAATTAATCAGACGATTGTTATCGTTCGAATTAATATGGCCCGTATAGGGTGGGGCAGTGAAATGTAAACCATCTTTTTGCAAATGACCCATAGTCCAAGCTTGCCAACTATTATCTTCATGGGATAATTTAATTTGAACGCTTGATGGTGTTGTTGTAAGTTGGTTATCGCTAAGTTAATGATATGTTCTGAACGACCAGCAGTTGTTGCAAAACTAGGTGTTACGGTTGAAAAATTACAGATGTCATAAATGGCATTGGAAAATATTGTGTCTGATATTTGTTCTTTACAACCATTGCTAGGATTGCGGGCATAAGCAGTAAAGCCTATGTAGACCTAAAGAGTTTGAGTTATATTTATAGGAATATGTGGAATATTTTTTTTAATATTCTTACCTTTTTACCGCTATTTATACCAAAATAATCCGTATCTATAGTATTTTCTATGACATTCTTAGCTTTTTCATCTAGAGATTGTTCCATCTGCCAACTTTTCAAATATTGTAGCTTTCCTTTGATTTCGTTTTTTAGCCGTAAACTACAGGTTTTACGTATGTGACAGTTATTTAAGTTGTATTTATAATAGCTGCTATTAGGAACCGGCTTTTGCATTATGTCTATTATTAGTTTTGCATTCTAGCGGTATTTTTTCTCAGTATATGAGGTGACAAAAGTGGCGGATCCATATGACTATATAAATCGACCACAATCCAAACTTCTGGATATATTGTGTCGTTCAAAAGTATATATTCACTTGTTAATGTGCTCTTTTTTCTTATAGCACTATCATAGGCAAATCTTTCCAGTGGATCAGGTTGTTTAGTTAGATATGACAACACGACCATTGTGATCTTTTTATAGCTGAAAAACAAAACAATTTGCTTAAATGTTGGATTTTTTTTTTTTTTGTATTTATTTATTTTTATCATAATTTAGATTAAACAATTTTTAAGAACTTACAAAATTACACAATTTTTTGCAACAGCCGACCCGGCACAGATAAGCTTTTACTCGCTTGACTTTATTAAATACGCTTGATTTTGATTATGTTTTGTTGTGGTGTATTAATCTGGTATTCCCCTTTATTTTTGAAAAATTACATTTTTATTTGTTTATTTTTAATTTTTTTTTTTTTTTTTTGCAAAAAGTCCAAAACTTTCACACAAACAACATAAATATTATTAAATCAAAATAAATAATTTTTTTTAAATAATCACGTACTTAACTTCTTTAAATATCATTTAAAAAAACACAACCTAACTCCATCAAGTAGTTATTGGAAATGATAAATAGAAATAGATCTTCGTGAATTGCACGACGGCATTTGCCATATGCGCAGGTCCGTATGAAATATGACGTCACAATAGTAAATAAAAATTACCATAAAATAAATACATATGCACCAGAGTACAAATATATTCAAGTAAAGAATAACATAAAAGAAGAAAGAAGTAACTCAAGATCACGTAAAACGAATATTATTCATACGATCCAAACGAATGAAAACGAAGCATTCGTAAATAGTATTTGTAGATATGACTAAAAGGGAAATTAACCCGGTATTTTCCTTATTTTTGTGATGTAGACATTTACTTGTACGCATAAACGAAACACGAATATAAGTGTTTCATTTGTATGGGAAAGAAGGAAAGGAAAGAGAAGAGAAAGGAAATAGAACTTAAAAAAACGAAGTCTATACGAACTTGTTAAGTTTTATCATCATCATCGCTGACCAGTCATGGGCAAACATTCTACTAATTAGTTCGCTTATAGTTTAGTTTCTAGTCCAGTACAAGTTCGGTTCTACTACACTTCTAGTTGAGTTTTAGTTGAGTTCTAGTTCTGTTCTAGTTCGATTCTAGTTCCATCTAGTTTATGTTCTATTTCTGTTCTAGTTCTGTTCTAGTTCTGTTCTAGTTCTGTTCTAGTTCTGTTCTAGTTCTGTTCTAGTTCTGTTCTAGTTCTGTTCTAGTTCTGTTCTAGTTCTGTTCTAGTTCTGTTCTAGTTCTGTTCTAGTTCTGTTCTAGTTCTGTTCTAGTTCTGTTCTAGTTCTGTTCTAGTCTGTTCTAGTTCTGTTCTAGTTCTGTTCTAGTTCTGTTCTAGTTCTGTTATAGTTCTGTTCTAGTTCTGTTCTAGTTCTGTTCTAGTTCTGTTCTAGTTTGTTCTAGTTCTGTTCTAGTTCTGTTCTAGTTCTGTTCTAGTTCTGTTCTAGTTCTGTTCTAGTTCTGTTCTAGTTCTGTTCTAGTTCTGTTCTAGTTATGTTCTAGTTTCCTGTTCTAGTTCTGTTCTAGTTCTGTCTAGTCTGTTTTCTAGTTCTGTTCTAGTTCTGTTCTAGTTTGTTCTAGTTCTGTTCTAGTTCTGTTCTAGTTCTGCTCTAGTTCTGTTCTAGTTCTGTTTAGTTCTGTTCTAGTTCTGTTCTAGTCTGTTCTTAGTTCTGTTCTTAGTTCTGTTCTAGTTCTGTTCTAGTTCTGTTCTAGTTCTGTTCTTAGTTCTGTTCTAGTTCAGTTCTAGTTCAGTTCTTCGTCTATTTCCTGTTCTAGTTCTGTTCTAGTTCTGTTCTAGTTCTGTTTCTAGTTCTGTTCTAGTTCTGTTCTAGTTCTGTTCTAGTTCTGTTCTAGTTCTGTTCTAGTTCTGTTCTAGTTCTGTTTCTAGTTCTGTTCTAGTTCTGTTCTAGTTCTGTTCTAGTTCTGTTCTAGTTCTGTTCTAGTTCTGCTCTAGTTCTGTTCTAGTTCTGTTCTAGTTCTGTTCTAGTTCTGTTCTAGTTCTGTTCTAGTTCTGTTCTAGTTTTGTTCTAGTTCTGTTCTAGTTCTGTTCTAGTTCTGTTCTAGTTCTGTTCTAGTTCTGTTCTAGTTCTGTTCTAGTTCTGTTCTAGTTCTGTTCTAGTTCTGTTCTAGTTCTGTTCTAGTTCTGTTCTAGTTCTGTTCTAGTTCTGTTCTAGTTCTGTTCTAGTTCTGTTCTAGTTCTGTTCTGTTCTAGTTCTGTTCTTGTTCTGTTCTAGTTTTTTTCTAGTTCTGTTCTAGTTCTGTTCTAGTTCTAGTTCAGTTCTAGTTCTGTTCTAGTTCTGTTCTAGTTCTGTTCTAGTTCTGTTCTAGTTCTGTTCTAGTTCTGTTCTAGTTCTGTTCTAGTTCTGCTCTAGTTCTGTTCTAGTTCTGTTCTAGTTCTGTTCTAGTTCTGTTCTAGTTCTAGTTCTAGTTCTAGTTCTGTTCTGTTCTAGTTCTAGTTCAATTCTAGTTCTCTTCTTTAATATAATCTAGTTTAAACTTTAGACCCATAGTAAACTTCTAGATCATTCTGAATTTGCAAAATTTCACCCTTAAAATAAAACACATTTTATAAATCTTATAATTGTATGAATTAATTTCAGTTTTTATTTTTCAATTTATTATAATTGTTTTATAACAATATTTTGTTGTTATTGTTGTTTTTATAATTTTATTTTGTAATTAATTGTTTTCGGTTCCATTTTATTTTTTTCAATTTAAAGATGAAATTCCTAAAGTATATAGATTACTAGAAAAGAAAAGTAAAAATCATAGATTTTGTAAAAGATTTTTTAACTGAAAATTCACAACATTGAAATCAATTGTAACTGAAATTGAATTTTAAAATGAAAAAATAATTTTCAGTAAAGCTTTTTTGTTGTTTGGGTATTTTTAATCCGATTTTTTTTAGTTTTTTAGTTAAAATTTTTCAAATCTTAATATTTAAAGTTTAGAATTTGTTTATTAGATTATAATGTGTGTGTATATATAATATAATTCTTTTAGATTACTTGACTACTTGAGTTATTTTTTTTTTTTTTATTTAAAAAAAGACTTGTCTTTTTTCAAATGGTCTTGCTTTTTAAGTGCCCTTTTCTTTAAAAATGTTTTATTTTTTGTTTTTCATTTAAATTATTTTTTATTTTTAATAAATATAAGTCATCATTTACAAAGGTGCTTTGATTTTTTTTTCTTAAATATTTTGTTTTATTTTTTGCTAAAAATTTTTAACTATAAATTTATTTGTTAATTTTTTTTGGGGGGGATTTTATTTTAATAATGCAGTAACAAACAACACAGTTTATTATTTTTAATATTTTAGTAATTTTTTTTCTTTCAATATTTTAATACATATTAACTGGGGTCTTAAAATTTTTCGATCTAAAACATAAAACAGAACACAATTAAAAACAAATTGCTCCAACTTGTATGAGAATGAAGTGGATCAAGCATGCCCTTTGAAGATTTAGAAATTAGTCTATATATACTATAGTTTAGTCTCTAATCCATAATACCCACTAGTCTATAGTCACTAGACTATAGTCACTTCACTAGACTAGTATTCTAGATTATAGTTTGGACTTTAGTTTTGACTATAGTTTAAATTGCAGACGAGTCTATAGTCTAGAACTATAATGTGGGCTATAGTCTGCACTACAGTCTACACTATACACTACACTTAATTCTAATCTATAGTCTGAACTTTAGTCTACACTTCTTAGACTCTAGACCTGGATATAGTTTGGATTATAGTTTGATCTATAGTGTAGTATATAGTCAGGAATATTGTATGGACCATAGGTCTTGCATACAGAGTCGAATATATAGTCTAGATTACAATTAATCTAGTCTATAGTCTTATCTATAGTGTATAGTCTGGACTATTGTGTAGAATAAAGTCTGGACTTTAATATGATATATAGTCTAATCAATAGTCTTATCTATAGTCTAGTCTTTAGTCTGGACTACAGTCTATTCTATTTATAGTCTGGTCCATAAACTATTCTATAGTCTGTGCTATTGTCTAGTCTTCAGTCTGAACATTTATCTATAATCTATAGTCTTGACTATAATCTGGACTATAGTCTTGCCTATATCTATAAATCTGGACGATTGTCTAGTCTATATTTTGGACAATAATCTATATTCTGGACTATAACCTAAATTATAGACTGGACTATAGTTTAGGATATAGTCCGGACTGTAGTCTAGTCTATTGTCTGGACTAGAGTGTAGTCTATAGTCTGGACTAGAGTCTAGTCTATAGTCTGGACTAGAGTTTAGCTTATAATCTGGGCTAGAGTCTAGCCTATAGTCTGGACTAGCGCCTTGTCTATAGTTTGGGCTAGAGTATTGTCTGGACTAGAGTCTAGCCTATATTCTGGACTAGCGTCTAGTCTATAGTCTGGACTAAAGTCTAATCTATAGTCTAGTCTATAGTATGGACTATAGTCTTGTCTATAGTATGGACTATAGTCTTGTCTATAGTATGGACTATAGTATAGTCTATAGTATGGACTATAGTTTAGTCTATAGTCTGGACTATAGACTAGTCTATAGTCTAGTCTAAATCTGAACTATAATCTAATCTAAAGCCCGGACTATAGTCTAGTCTAAAGTATAGCCTAGAGCCTAGTCTGGACTATTGTCTAGTCTATAGTCTAGTCTATAGTCTGGGCTATAGTCTATTCTATAGTCTGGGCTATAGTCTATTCTATAGTCTAGCCTGGACTATAGACTAATCTATAGTCTAGTCTAAATCAGGACTAAAGTCGGACTAGAGCCTAGCGTATAGTCTGGACTATTGTCTAGTCTATAGTCTGGACTATTGTCTAGTCTATTGTCTGGGCTATAGTCTAGTCTATAGTCTGGGCTATAGTCTAGTCTATAGTGTGGGCTATAGTCTAGTCTATAGTCTGGGCTATAGTCTAGTCTATAGTCTGGGCTATAGTCTAGTCTATAGTCTGGGCTATAGTCTAGTCTATAGTCTGGGCTATAGTCTATTCTATAGTCTGGGCTATAGGCTGGACTATAGACTAGACTCTATAGTTTGAATTATAGTCTGGCCTATAGTCTAATCTATAGTCTGGACTATAGTCTAATCTATAGTCTGGACTGTAGTCTTGTCTATAGTCTGGACTATAGTCCGTGCAAATTGGCAATTTGCCAAGACTTTAATATATAGCCTGGACTATAGTCTGTACTATAGTCCGTGCAAATTAGCAATTTGCCAAGATTCATGATTTTTCTAAATTTACTCGAATTTTCAAGACTGTAAACTATAAAATAGAAGTCTTGCAACTATGCAAGACTTAAAGACGTCAATGATTTGGTATCTTGAGTCTAAGATTCTAAATTTTTAACTCGATTTTTTGCTCGATCATTAACGAAATTATATTTTTAATGTAATTGCAGTCTTGTAAACCTTGCAAATAATGAAATTTTTACAAATTTACGAAACATACATGAAACATTGATTTTTCTACACTTTTGCTCATTTGCTAGCCTGAGAACTATAGCAAGACAGGTCTTGTAAATATGCAAGACTTACTTAAAGGTAATGAAATATTTTGCAAAATTTCCTTATTAAAAGTGACTAAGGGAAATGTTGCCAAACATTTAAGTATTATGTAATCACTCTTGTAAATTTACCACAATGTTTATACTCTGCTAATGTTTGTATTTTCTTTGTTTTACAGTTATTCAAGTGGACAACAAGGTAAGAGAAAGAAGAATAATTTTATAATATGTTGAAGAAATACTATAGTAATGAAATCATGGCATAGTTGCAACCCTTGCAAAGTTACTATGAGTATTGTTGTAAGTCTGGGAAACACAAAATAGCTTTTTAGGTATATTAAATGAAATATTTTCTGGCTTTGTGACAAACTATAGCCATTTTATTAGTTATACAATATTTGCAAGGGGTGCAATAATAAAAAACACTTAACAGAGTAAGATTACAAGACTTATTTGCAATATTTCTAAGTCTAGAAATAATTTTTGATAGTTAATGACATATTTTGTGGTTTTATAGTAAACTATAGCCTTTTAATTAGATTTACTATATTTGCAAGGGTTGCAATAGTAAAAAAAAATACTGAATTCAAATTTACAAGACTAATTAGCAATATTTCTAAGTCTAGAAATAATTTTCAGTGATAGTTAATGTAATATTTTATGGTTTTATTTTAAACTACAGCCTTTTACTTAGATTTACTGTATTTGCAAGGGTTGCAATAGTAAAAAAATCACTAAACTAATTTAAAAACATGAGTTTGAATTGTTATATCGGCTAGAGTATATTACTATAAAGACAGTTAATGACAGTTTGAAAGTTTACTCAGATTTTTTCACATTTACAAGGTCTTGCAAATTGCTTTAGGTGTAGTAAATGAAATATTTTGTTGTTAACTTGTTAGTTATAGCATTTACATTAGATATACAATATTTACTACAGGTTTTCAAACTTTTTGAAGTCTTGCAAATGGCTTCTGGTGTAGTAAATTAAATATTTTGTTGTTAACCTGTTAGGTATAGCTTTTACATTAGATATACAACATTTACTACATGTTTTAAATCTTGCAAATCTTGCTTAGGTATAGTAAATCAAATATTTTAAACACAAAATGATACTTTCAATGATAAATTCTGACCACTTGCTAATCTTGCAAATATACCATGAACAAGGAAACGAACCAGAATATTTTCAAAACTTGCCACGCCCCTTTTTTCACATTTCAATTGGAGTTTTTTTACAATTCAAAGAAATAAATCATTTAATTTTTTATTAAAACTTTTCTTTTATGAAAAATTATCATGAAATTTTTATTTAAAATAATAAAAATATTTTATATGAAAACTTAAACATAGAACATAAAATTTTAAATAAAAAAAATTTAAAACAAAACTTTAAAAATTGTTAAATAAGTACATACACATAGAAACAAAGTATAGTAAATTAGTTTAAGGAGCTAAATATTTTTTTAAAAAGGAATGTTTTTAAACTTTTTTTTTTTTTTTTGTAATAATTTATTTATTTTTCTTTAAATTTTTCAGTTTTAAACAATACAAGGGGGTTATAATATAATTTACTTTTTTTATTTTGCTTTCAAACTTTATAAATTAATTAAAATATTGAGACGGAAAAAGTTTTTTTTTTTTTTTTGTTTTTTTTTTAATTTTATTTAGAATAAAGTTTGTTTTTATACTTAATTTTTTAAACTAGATTTCTTTTTTAAAAAAATACTCACACAATAATACAGACATTTAATAATAATTTGTAACATATTTAAAAAAAAAAAAACTTATTAGTTTCTTTTGTTGTTGTTTTTCTTTAATCATAAGCTATTGCATTTTAGTAAAGTTGTTCTTTTTTTATATACTTTTTAGTTATCGGATCATTTTTTCAAATAGAAAGAGAATTTTTTTTTGGTTTTTGTTTAATATTAATTTCAAAACAGTTCTAGGCATCAGATTTTAACAGTTTGCAAGACCTTTTTTGTTTATTTTTGGTGTTGCAAATACTCTTAAAGGTTATACCTCTCAATTTCACATATTTTATATTACTTTTACATACTTTTTATACATTTGCAAGACCTTGTAAATTTACTTAAGTATAGTAAATCGTTATTTCGTGTTTATTGCAATTGCTAGCATAAAACTAATTAAGTTTGCCATGTTTGCAAGGTTAGTTTACTATGTTTGCCAGGTTTACAAGGGCAGTTAACTACTGTAAAGTAAATAAAATTTTGTTTTTTAAAAGAAATTATTTTTTAAAAAGGCAAAAACGCAAAAGTAATAAAATATTTTTTCATTCATTGCTAACTTTAGCCATTTACAAGACCTTTTTTGCCCATTTCTGTTATTGCAAATATACTTAAGGTTAATAACTTTCAATTTCTCATATTTTATTTTACTTTTATATACTTTTAATATATTTACAAGACCTTGCATATGTTTGCATATGAAATTCTGCATGATTTTAAAGATTTCTTATATTTACAAGACCTGTTTGTTAGGTTTTAAAGACTTGTAAATAAATTTAGGTATAGTAAATGAAATATTTTGTGGTTTTATTATAAAGTGCAGGCATTTAAATAGTTTTGCAATATTTGCTAGGGTTGCAATATCATAAAAAATCCCTAAACTAAAAACGAAAAGTAAATTTCGGAATTGCTATGTTAGCTAGAGTAATTTACTATGAAGATTTAATGCGATGGTTCAGATGTTTCATATTTACAAGCCCTTGTAAACTTGGTAAATTAAATATTTGTTTGTTAACTTGCAAATTACAGCTTTTCTCATCAATTGTCTACATTTGCTACATGTTTTAAAGTCTTGCAAATTGTTTTAGATATAGTAAATCATGTATTTAGTGATTTTTCTAGATTCACTACATTTGACAGACTTGCAATAGTCAAAAATACTAAAATTAGTATAAAAATCACAAGTTGTTTGAACATTGGGAAGATTATTAAAGATTTATTACATTTGCAAGGTTTACAAGGATGAAAATTTATTCATTTCGTATGAAAATCAAAATTAATTGAAAAATTAATAAAATAATTTGAGTTTATGTGGCTTTCTTAAGTCTTGTAAATTTGGTATTTTGTAGTTCGAACCTTGCAAATTGTTCATTAAGGTAAATTTTAGCATTTTTGTTAGATTTTGTTAGATTTACAAGGTTTACAAGGCATACAAAAAGTTAGTTTTATAAAAAAAATCTAAGCAAAAAATACAAATTAGAAATACTTAAGTTTTTGTCTGGATTTTAATGTTGCAAATTTGCTATTTTGTAATTGGGGCCCTGGCAAATTGTTCATTATTGTAAATTTTAGCATTTTTTTAAATTTACTACATTTGCAAGCTTTACAAGGCTAATAAATAGTTAGTTGTACATAAATATCCAAAGTTATTAGAAAATTGGAAAACCCATTCATTTTTATTTGGTTTTTAGGTCTTGTAAATTTGCTATTTTGTACTTAGAGCCTTGTAAATGGTTTATTAGCTATATTGAAACATTTTTGTTATATTTATTACATTTGCAAGGTTTACAAGGCTAATAATTTGTTAGTTTTATATAAAAATCCAAAGTTGTTCGAAAAATTAGATAACACATTCGCTTTTTGTTTGGTTTTTAGGTCTTGTAAATTTGCTATTTTGTATTTAAAGCCTTGCAAATTGTTTATTATGGTAAATTTTAGCATTTATGTTAGATTTAGTACATTTGCAAGGTTTACAAGGGCAATTATATTGTTAATTGATTATGAAAATCAAAATTTCTTTAAAAATTTGAAAATACATTTTGTCTAGTTTTTTTTTAGTCTTGCAAATTTGTTAATTTTACTATATTGTAGTTTAGGGTCTTGCAAATTGTATTTAAACGTCATACGTTCAGAATTCAATTAAGAATTTCGCTGAAATGGTGAAATCTTCTCATCTAACTGATTAAATACAATCACAGCGATCATCCTCTTAATCGAAACCTTTTAACTTTGAAAATCTTGTAATGAAAGTTCAAATTTTAAACTAATTCTTTCTGAAACTACTCAAAACCTTAATGGCATTATATTTTAGTCCAGCAAACTTTTCTTTAAACTCTAGAACTGTTTTCAAATCAATACTAATTCTAACAACTAAATATTTTTAATTTTCAAAATTGTAATTTTTCGTTTTATTTTGTTAATTTCTTTAATCTTAATAAACTTTCATTAGGCTCTTTAATGCATCATTAATTATAAACGAATCTATTTTGTTTGTTGTTGTTGTTGTTTTTTTTAGTATATAATCTTAAGAGTTAATGCGTTGTTGTGGAATAGAAAAATGTGTACATACATGTCTTTTACGTTAACGTTTTATTATTATTATTATTATTTATTACTTTTGTTTTATAAATATTATAATATTTTTTGTTTCTTGAAATCTTTTCTTATACTGAGTGTTTTTTACGATTTTTAGAAGTGTCCTCCCTCCTCTCTTTCTTATTAAAATTATGATGATACATATGGTATTTGTTGTGTTTTTTGTTTCTTAATTCTTAACATGGAAATAGAAGTTATAGGCTTTTAATTTCGTTTATTAACTTTTTTCAGATTTTTAAGTTGTTCTTTGTTGCTGTTTAGTAGTAGTAGTAGTTGTTGTAGTTATATTGTTTGTTTGTTTCGATATTGGTTTTGGGGGGGGGAGAGAGTTTTAGATTAGTTTAATGGAAGGCAAAACATGTGCTGTAATAAACTTTTATTATTGTTTGCATTATGTGTATTATTATTGTTACCATTATGAGAATGTTGTTGTTGTTGCTGATCTTGATACTGTTGCTGTTGTTGAGGATCATGCGTATGTTGTAATTGCTCATGATGTAAATGATGATGTTGATGTAATTGTTGTTGTTGTGGCTGTTGTGTTTGTTGTTGTTGGTGATCATTATTAGTATAATTATTTAAATGTGTAATTAAATTATTATTAGGAGCATTTAAACGTAATAAACTTAAATCATCAGCAACTGAATCATAGTCACTGGAATCTTCGCCATAAAGCTGAAAAAAAGGCAAGAAAATTAAGAAAATAAGAAAAAAATTTTAAAACAAAAACAAGAGTAGACCATAAACTAGATTATAAAACAAACTATAGACTAAACTATAGACCATAGACTATAGACTAGACTATAGACTAGACCATAGACTAGACTATAGACTAGACTATAGACTGAACAATAGACTATACAATAGACTAGAAATAGACTAGACTAAAGACTAGACAATGGACAAGACTATAGACTAGACTATAGAGTAGACTATAGACTAGACTATAGACTAGACTATAGACTAGACTATAGACTAGACTATAGACTAGACTATAGACTAGACTATAGACTAGACTATAGACTAGACTATAGACTAGACTATAGACTAGACTATAGACTAGACTATAGACTAGACTATAGACTAGACTATAGACTAACTAGACTAGACTATAGACTAGACTATAGACTAGACTATAGACTAGACTATAGACTAGACTATAGACTAGACTATAGACTAGACTATAGACTAGACTATAGACTAGACTATAGACTAGACTATAGACTAGACTATAGACTAGACTATAGACTAGACTATAGACTAGACTATAGACTAGACTAGACTATAGACTAGACTATAGACTAGACTATAGACTAGACTAGACTAGACTATAGACTAGACTATAGACTAGACTATAGACTAGACTATAGACTAGACTAGACTAGACTAGACTATAGACTAGACTATAGACTAGACTATAGACTAGACTATAGACTAGACTATAGACTAGACTATAGACTAGACTATAGACTAGACTATAGACTAGACTATAGACTAGATTATAGACTAGACTATAGACTAGACTATAGACTAGACTATAGACTAGACTATAGACTGACTATAGACTGACCGACCATAGACTAGACTATAGACTGGACTATAGACTAGACTATAGACTAGACTATAGACTAGACTATAGACTAGACTATAGACTAGACTATAGACTAGACTATAGACTAGACTATAAACTAGACTATAGACTAGACTATAGACTAGACTATAGACTAGACTATAGACTAGACTATAGACTAGACTATAGACTAGTCTATAGACTAGACTATAGACTAGACTATAGACTAGACTATAGACTAGTCTATAGACTAGACTATAGACTAGACTATAGACTAGACTATAGACTAGACTATAGACTAGACTATAGACTAGACTATAGACTATAGACTAGACTATAGACTAGACTATAGACTAGACTATAGACTAGACTATAGACTAGACTATAGACTAGACTATAGACTAGACTATAGACTAGACTATAGACTAGACTATAGACTAGACTATAGACTAGACTATAGACTAGACTATAGACTAGACTATAGACTAGACTATAGACTAGACTATAGACTAGACTATAGACTAGACTATAGACTAGACTATAGACTAGACTATAGACTAGACTATAGACTAGACTATAGACTAGACTATAGACTAGACTATAGACTAGACTATAGACTAGACTATAGACTAGACTATAGACTAGACTATAGACTAGACTATAGACTACTATAGACTAGACTATAGACTAGACTATAGACTAGACTATAGACTAGACTATAGACTAGACTATAGACTAGACTATAGACTAGACTATAGACTAGACTATAGACTAGACTATAGACTAGACTATAGACTAGACTATAGACTAGACTATAGACTAGACTATAGACTAGACTATAGACTAGACTATAGACTAGACTATAGACTAGACTATAGACTAGACTATAGACTAGACTATAGACTAGACTATAGACTAGACTATAGACTAGACTATAGACTAGACTATAGACTAGACTATAGACTAGACTATAGACTAGACTATAGACTAGACTATAGACTAGACTATAGACTAGACTATAGACTAGACTATAGACTAGACTATAGACTAGACTAGACTACTATAGACTAGACTATAGACTAGACTATAGACTAGACTATAGACTATACTATAGACTAGACTATAGACTAGACTATAGACTATACTATAGACTAGACCATTGACTAGACTATAGACTAGACTTTAAACTAGATAACTAGACTTTAAACTAGATAACTAGACTTTAAACTAGACTATAAACTATACTATAGATTAAATAATAAAAAAATCCATATCTGTTCATACTTACACGCATATTATAGGGATGTAAGTCACAAAACTCGTGATGTCAAACTTCGTCTTCCAAAGACATTAACAATGGATTAACATATTCGAAACCTTCAAATTCAGATTGATCTATATTATCAATAACACGACTGTTTTAAAGAAAAAAGAAGAACAAAATCCAAGAAAAAAAGAAAAGAATTAATTTTTTTACTCGAAAACAATATAAAAAAAATTTTAAAATTTCTTTAAAATTGTATTAAAAAAGATTAAAAAACAATTAAAATATTAGTTATTAAATATTAATAAATACCGCTATTTAGTTATACAATGAAAAAAAACGAAAACAAACAATTACTTACTCATCATCTGGTGTTAATTGTACCGCTTCGCCTGTAAATTCTGGTGGGAAATTGGCCAAATCACGATCTGAATCTAAACGTGGCTTAAATGGTGGTGTAACTTGCTTATAGGCAAGCTTTAGTTTTTATTTGTTTGATTTGATTTGAACATGAAAGTAAAGCATGATTTGAAGGATGATTTTTTTGTTTTGTTTTATATTTACAAAAAAAAAAAAAGCAACAATTTAGTAAACAAAAAAAGTTATAAAAAACTTAAAAACGTTTAAATCAAATGTTTTATTATTTAAGGAAAATTATAAATATAATATTATGAAAAATTGATGATTATTTTTTTATATAAATTAATAGAATTTCTTAGATTTTGTAAATGTATGCACTAGGAAGATGATTTTGTTTTATGTTTTACTTTTTCTGGGTTTTAATGATCCATTTTAAAACATACCATTATTTGATTTAGTAGTTGACCTCTTTAGTTGGACTTAAACTAAACATTTATATAAATGTTTTGTTTATATTTGTGGTTTAATTAAAGCAAGACAATCAGTTTATATTATTTTGATTAAAAATTATAGTATAAAAGGGGTTTTAGAAACATGCTTCCGCGATAATGATAGTTATATAGAACAAATAACATTTAAATTTAGTTTTTTCTTCATAAGAAACTCTAATCAAAAGCAGAGAAAGTTTTAGAATATTTATTGAATGTTTGTCGAATCATACGAATAAGCAAAAGAACGCATAACTCTACACCCATTTGTTTACTTGGAGACAATATCAATCCAGACAATAGGCTAGACTATAGACTAGAATATAGACTAGACTATAGACTAGACTATAGATTAGGTTATAGATTAGGTTATAGACTATAAACTAGACTATAGACTAGACTATAGACTAGACTATAGACTAGACTATAGATTAGACTATAGACTAGACTATAGACTAGACTATAGACTAGACTATAGACTAGACTATAGACTAGACTATAGACTAGACTATAGACTAGACTATAGACTAGACTATAGACTAGACTATAGACTAGACTATAGACTATACTATTGACTAGACTATAGACTAGACCATAGACTAGACTATAGACTAGACTATAGACTAGACTATAGACTAGACTATAGACTAGACTATAGACTAGACTATAGACTAGACTATAGACTAGACTATAGACTAGACTATTGACTAGACTATAGACTAGACTATAGACTAGACTATAGACTAGACTATAGACTAGACTATAGACTAGACTATAGACTAGACTATAGACTAGACTATAGACTAGACTATAGACTAGACTATAGACTAGACTATAGACTAGACTATAGACTAGACTATAGACTAGACTATACACTAGACTATAGACTAGACTATAGACTAGACTATAGACTATAGACTAGACTATAGACTAGACTATAGACTAGACTATAGACTATACTATTGACTAGACTATAGACTAGACCATAGACTAGACTATAGACTAGACTATAGACTAGACTATAGACTAGACTATAGACTAGACTATAGACTAGACTATAGACTAGACTATAGACTAGACTATAGACTAGACTATTGACTAGACTATAGACTAGACTATAGACTAGACTATAGACTAGACTATAGACTAGACTATAGACTAGACTATAGACTAGACTATAGACTAGACTATAGACTAGACTATAGACTAGACTATAGACTAGACTATAGACTAGACTATAGACTAGACTATAGACTAGACTATAGACTAGACTATAGACTAGACTATAGACTAGACTATAGACTAGACTATAGACTAGACTATAGACTAGACTATAGACTAGACTATAGACTAGACTATAGACTAGACTATAGACTAGACTATAGACTAGACTATAGACTAGACTATAGACTAGACTATAGACTAGACTATAGACTAGACTATAGACTAGACTATAGACTAGACTATAGACTAGACTATAGACCTAGACTATAGACTAGACTATAGACTAGACTATAGACTAGACTATAGACTAGACTATAGACTAGACTATAGACTAGACTATAGACTAGACTATAGACTAGACTATAGACTAGACTATAGACTAGACTATAGACTAGACTATAGACTAGACTATAGACTAGACTATAGACTAGACTATAGACTAGACTATAGACTAGACTATAGACTAGACTATAGACTAGACTATAGACTAGACTATAGACTAGACTATAGACTAGACTATAGACTAGACTATAGACTAGACTATAGACTAGACTATAGACTAGACTATAGACTAGACTATAGACTAGACCTATAGACTAGACTATAGACTAGACTATAGACTAGACTATAGACTAGACTATAGACTAGACTATAGACTAGACTATAGACTAGACTATAGACTAGACCATAGACTAGACCATAGACTAGACTATAGACTAGACTATAGACTAGACTATAGACTAGACCATAGACTAGACTATAGACTAGACTATAGACTAGACTATAGACTAGACTATAGACTAGACTATAGACTAGACTATAGACTAGACTATAGACTAGACTATAGACTAGACTATAGACTAGACTATAGACTAGACTATAGACTAGACTATAGACTAGACTATAGACTAGACTATAGACTAGACTATAGACTAGACTATAGACTAGACTATAGACTAGACTATAGACTAGACTATAGACTAGACTATAGACTAGACTATAGACTAGACTATAGACTAGACTTTAGACTAAACTATAGACTAGACTATAGACTAGACTATAGACTAGACTATAGACTAGACTATAGACTAGACTATAGACTAGACTATAGACTAGACTATAGACTAGACTATAGACTAGACTATAGACTAGACTATAGACTAGACTATAGACTAGACTATAGACTAGACTATAGACTAGACTATAGACTAGACTATAGACTAGACTATAGACTAGACTATAGACTAGACTATAGACTAGACTATAGACTAGACTATAGACTAGACTATAGACTAGACTATAGACTAGACTATAGACTAGACTATAGACTAGACTTTAGACTAAACTATAGACTAGACTATAGACTAGACTATAGACTAGACTATAGACTAGACTATAGACTAGACTATAGACTAGACTATAGACTAGACTATAGACTAGACTATAGACTAGACTATAGACTAGACTTTAGACTAAACTATAGACTAAACTATAGACTAGACTATAGACTAGACTATAGACTAGACTATAGACTAGACTATAGACTAGACTATAGACTAGACTATAGACTAGACTATAGACTAGACTATAGACTAGACTATAGACTAGACTATAGACTAGACTATAGACTAGACTATAGACTAGACTATAGACTAGACTATAGACTAGACTACTATAGACTAGACTATAGACTAGACTATAGACTAGACTATAGACTAGACTATAGACTAGACTATAGACTAGACTATAGACTAGACTATAGACTAGACTATAGACTAGACTATAGACTAGACTATAGACTAGACTATAGACTAGACTATAGACTAGACTATAGACTAGACTATAGACTAGACTATAGACTAGACTATAGACTAGACTATAGGACTAGACTATAGACTAGACTATAGACTAGACTATAGACTAGACTATAGACTAGACTATAGACTAGACTATAGACTAGACTATAGACTAGACTATAGACTAGACTATAGACTAGACTATAGACTAGACTATAGACTAGACTATAGACTAGACTATAGACTAGACTATAGACTAGACTATAGACTAGACTATAGACTAGACTATAGACTAGACTATAGACTAGACTATAGACTAGACTATAGACTAGACTATAGACTAGACTATAGACTAGACTATAGACTAGACTATAGACTAGACTATAGACTAGACTATAGACTAGACTATAGACTAGACTATAGACTAGACTATAGACTAGACTATAGACTAGCCTATAGACTAGACTAGACTAGACTAGACTAGACTATAGACTAGACTATAGACTATACTATAGATTAGACTATATACTACTCTATAGACTAGACTATATACAACTCTATAGACTGGACTATATACTACTCTATTGACTAGACTATAGACTAGACTATAGACTAAACTATAGACTAGACTATAGACTAGACTATAGACTAGACTATAGACTAGACTATAGACTAGACTATAGACTAGACTATAGACTAGACTATAGACTAGACTATAGACTAGACTATAGACTATACTATTGATTAGACTATATACTACTCTATAGACTAGACTATATACAACTCTATAGACTGGACTATATACTACTCCATTGACTAGACTATAGACTAGACTATAGACTAATCTATAGACTAGACTATAGACTACTCTATAGACTAGACTATAGACTACTCTATAGACTAGACTATAGACTACTCTATAGACTACTCTATAGACTAGACTAGACTATAGACAACTCTATAGACTAGACTAGACTATAGACTACTCTATAGACTAGACTAGACTATAGACTACTCTATAGACTAGACTAGACTATAGACAACTCTATAGACTAGACTAGACTATAGACTACTCTATAGACTAGACTAGACTATAGACTATTCTATAGACTAGACTATAGACTACTCTATTGACTAGACTATAGACTATAGACTACTCTATAGACTAGACTAGACTATAGACTACTCTATAGACTACTCTATAGACTAGACTATAGACTACTCTATAGACTACTCTTTAGACTAGACTAGACTAGACTATAGACTAGACTATAGACTAGACTATAGACTAGACTATAGACTACTCTATAGACTAGAATACTCTATATACTAGACTATAAACAATACTATTCATTAGACTATAGACTACTCTATAGACTAAACTATAGACTAGACTATACGCGAGACTATAGACTAGACTATTAACTGAACTAGAGTATTGACTACATTATAATTCAGGCTATAGATCAAACTATAAACTATATTGTATCTATAACAAGGCTGAGTAGAAAATTTTTTACGGATCTCAACGAAAAAACTGCTTTCAAAAAAGAAATATAAAGTTAAATCAAAAAAAAATATGTTTAGAGATTATAACAAACATTCAACATTATAGTTAAAGACATTCTTTTTTAAAAACTTTATAAATATAGGAAGCTTTTTTTTTTAAGAAAATAAAAAGGTATTTTTGTGTAGACTATTTGTTAAAAAGAAAGATTACATTACCACACACACAAAATGTCTTTTTTTTTCAAACTAAAACAAATAAACTTACGGATCATCTGGCGTCAATTCAGCCGGTTCTCTGGTAAATTGAATGTCAAAATTTGTTGTCATAAAAGGATCGCCAGGATCAAATGTAGGTATATATGGTGGTGGTACTTCCTTACGTGCAATCTTATATAAATTTATAAGGGGATTTCGAATACAAATACAACATTTTGTGTTTTACACAAAAATAAAAATTTCAAGAAATTATAATTATAATAAAAAAAAATTATAATAAATGTTTAAATAATAAAAAAAAAAACAAAATACGATAATCATCAAAGTTTCACATTAAATAAATAGATTAAAGTGGAATTTTAACACAAACTTACCATTTCCCAGTCAATAACCTTAAAGAAGGGATGATTTTTAATATCCATAAAGGCGGTCTCACGATGGCAGCCCAAACGATCGGCTGGATTTTTATTTAAGAAACCTTTAAGAACCGAAGCAGCTTTAACACTTAAAGAACGTGGTATACGTATGGTTTTCTCCAAAATGACTTGGAAAAGATAATCCTCAGTGTTCTTAAGAGAGGGAAAGAAAAGAGAGTTAATATTTGTTTAAGTGAAAAGAGAAAGGAATAGCTCACTTGATCAGGATTTTCTGAAGCCCCGGCTATATCGAAGGGACTGCGTCCAGCCAACATTTCATACAGCAACACACCCAAAGCCCACCAATCTACCGAAAAACCATAATCCTCACCCCTTAGAATTTCGGGAGCTATATAATTGGGTGTGCCACAGAAGGTGGAAGTGGTATCACCTGGGCGTATGCCTTCCTTACACATGCCATAATCGGTTAGTTTAATATGACCCTCATGATCTAGCAAAACATTATCCAGCTTCAGATCACGATATATAATACCCTTCTCATGCAAGAAATTCAAAGCCAAACTTATTTCGGCTGCATAAAAGCGAGCATGTTCCTCTGGCAAACGTCTTTGACGTTGCATGTGATACATAAGATCACCGCCGCGCACAAATTCAATAACAAAGAATAGACGTGATGGTGTCTGGAAGCACGAATGTAAACCCACCAGGAAAGGATGATTTGAGGCTGTTTCAAAAACATGCTTCTCCGTTTGCACCCAATCGATATCCTCATCATCCGTAACCAAAGCTTTCTTAATAACCTTCATGGCATAGATGCGTCTAGTCTTTTTCAGTTCCACCATCAAGACCTTGGCATAACTGCCACGACCAATGACACGTATCAATTCGAAATCATCCAAAGAGAATTGACGCTGTGAACCCATTTCAATTTCCTCCTTATTCTGTGAACCCATATAACCGCCCACTCCGCCACCACTAGAAGCCGAAGGCATATACTCTGGATCCGAAGAGATGCAGGATTCATCGGCTCCCGGATGTATGGGTGGATAATCGGGTATGGGTGGTGGCATTTGTGGTAGCTGCTCGGCGAAATCATCTTCCGCACCCTTGGGCACCAACGGTTTGACATCCTCATTCGAACAGGGTTTCTTAACCAATTTATGGCATTTTTTGTGTACCAACAGTTTGCATTGTATGCACTTGAAACCTTGACGTCCCAGACCCCAGATGCGATCTTGGCAATAAGCACAAAATGCACGCTAAATGGGCAATTAATAAAAACAATAGTAAAATTTATTGCAATAAAATTTGTTTAAAGGTCATTCTTACTCTATTAAAACGTTTAGCTTGGAATATATGACCATTAACCCTATACAGTTTGCGCCATCTTCTGGCACCCCGTCGATAAATGCTGCCTGTTTTGTGGGAAGAAAACAGAAATCAATTTATATTTTATTATTCTATTACAAACAAAACAAAAACTTACGATCTTCACCATCACATAATGAACCAGGTGCTGCAGGAACATTTGGGAAAACTTGAGTTCGAAAGAAAAAAGAGAAAAAGTTTTGTAATTATTTTCTTTTCAATAGAAAACTTATTAGAGAAACTAAAGCGTTTTTAAAACAAATTATTCATGCATTAATCTTTATAACGAAAAAAATAGTTTTATAAATTTAAAATGGCTTCAAAAAGAGAGAACACGACTTCAAAACGAGAGAAAACGAGTTGTATAAAAGTTTTTCAATAGAATTTTTCATTGGAAACATGTTTTCTGTAGAAAATTGTTTCGCCGTGACTGTTTTTTATATAAAAGTGGTTTGGCGTGAATGTTTCTTTAGTTTAGTAATTCGCCGTGACTTTTGTCTATAAAAAACAGTTTCGCCCTGGTGGTTTTTAAAGATAATTGTTTCGTCGTGTTTGTTTTCTATCGAAAAGTCACTGCAAGTCATTTCTCTGTAGAAAAAAGTCACGATGAAATAATTTTCTATAGAAAAAAGTTCACGGCAAAAAAGTTTTCTACAGAAAAGTCACGGCGAAACATATTTCTACAGAAAAAAGCCACGGCAAAACATATTTCTATAGAAAAAATTCACGGCGAAACATTTTTCTATAAAAAAAAAAAAAGAAAAAAGTTACGACAAGAGATTTTTCTTTAGAAAAAAGTCAAGGCAAAATATTTTCCATTGAAAAAAGTCACGGCGAACTATTTTTCTATAGTAAAAAGTCATGTTTAGTCATATTTCCCAATAAAAATCTATAGACAAAAGTCAAGGTAAGACACTTTTCCATAGAAAAAAGTTACTGTGAGCTATTTTTCTATAGAAAATAGTCAAGGCAAGACATTTTTCTATAAAATACAATCAAGGCGAATGATTTTTTCGTAGAAATCAATCACAGCAAAGAACTTTTACTTAGGAATGAGTCAAGGCGGAAAACTTTTCCATAAAAAGAGTCACGGCGAGATACTTTTCCATAGAAAAGATTCACGGCGAAGGTCTTTTCTTTAGAAATCAATCACGGCGAAACGTTTTCCTATTGAAAAAAGTAACGACAATACATTTTTCTATAGAAAAAAATCACGGCGAAATATTTTTCTATAAAATATTATCAGGGCGAATCATTTTTCTATAGAAAAAAGTTAGGGCGAGATATTTTTCTATAGAAAAAAGTCACGGCGAACTATTTTTCTATAGAAAAAAGGCATAGTTAGTCATATTTCTCTATAAAAAATCACGGCAAGACATTTTTCATTACGGCGAACCAGTTTTCCTTAGAAAAACGTCTCGGCAAGACATTTTTCTAAAGGAAAAAGTCAAGGCAAAAAACTTTTCCGTTGAAAAACGTTGCGGCGGGCCATTTTTCTATAGAAAAAAATCACGGCAAAACATTTTTCTATAGAATACAATCAATGCGAATGATTTTTTCTTTTTTCCACGGGAAGAAGTCAGGGCGAAAGGCTTTTCTTTAGAAATCAATCACGGCGAAAGACTTTTCTATAGAAAACAGTCACGGCGAGAAACTTTTCCATAGAAATTATTCACGGCGAAAGGCTTCTCATTAGAAAAGAGTCACGGCGAAACATTTTTCTATAGAATACAATCAAGGCGAATGATTTTTTCTTAGAAATTAATCACAGCGAAAGACTTTTCCATTGATAGGAATCACGGCGAAATGCTTTTCTTTAGAAATCAATCACGGCGAGAGCCTTTTATATAAAAAACTGTCACGGCGAGATACTTTTCTATATAAAATAGTCATGGCAAAACACTTTTCTATGAAAAAAGATCGAAAACCTTTTTATAAATTGAGGATAAAAGTCTATTATTTTCGATTTTGTATATTGAACTTTTTTATAATTTATAACAAATAAATAAATCATAAAACTCAATAAATAAACAGCAAACAAAACAATTTCCTACTGTTTTGTTTTTTCTTTTTCTTTCTATATAAGAAAAATCCCAATTATTCAATTTGCATTTTATCAAATGATAAAAATAAATTCAATTTTAAATGATAAAATGTAAAAAAATATATATATAAGAACTTAAATATCAATTGAATATAAAATATTATAGACACAAGATTAAATCAAGGTCATAAAAAAATATTTGTATATTTTTGTAAAAAAATTATACTAAAACGTTTTAAAAAAGAAGTCATGCAAAATATCCCCCAAAAAATTTTTATACACAGATAAATTACACAGCAAAAAAAACAGAAACGAAAAAAAAAGGTCAAAAGCTTAAATTAACAAGTGTTGGAAAAAAATTTAAAAACTATAAAGAAATTCAATTTAATAGAAATTAAATACTTTTTGAATACTAACAAGCTGAACCACCGCTCATAAAAAAGGCTGAAGTCTGTACACCATAAATGGTGGCAGCATCACAAATTCCACTCCAAATAATCATAATGTTTAAATAAATACAAAATTTTGTTTGTAATTAAAACAAACAATTTTCACCCAAAAAAAAAAAACACAAAACTCTTTTATAAAGTATTGTTATTCACAGAACAAAAGGATAAATGTTTGATGTAAAAAAACACTTTTTTTAAAACTAAAATCCTTTTTAAAACACTTTTTCACCAAAAAGAGATTTTTTTTGTTTATTTGAAATCACATTATGAGACTGAAAAAAGCAAATATTAAAAGAAATTTTGTGTTATTTGTTATTTATTTATTTATTATCAAACAAAAACTAATGATTAGAAATTGTTTTTTTTTTTCTTTTTGCGATTAGTCAAATATTGGAAAAAAAAACCGCCCGTTATATATTTTAATAAATAACTGTTCGTTGACGAAAATTTTCGTTAAAACTGTATAGAATGGGTCATCAAAAGTAAAAAGAGACCTCTAAACAAAACAACAAGTAAACCCATCAAATACACTCTCAGTAAAACTTTATAACCCAGCAAACACAGGGGCAAAAAATGGAAAAGTTATCGAGACAGAAGGAGAAACCAAATTGTAGAGAGAAAAATGTTTTCATTAAAGAAAGTCTAGCTTAAAGTCTAGACTATAATATAGTCTATAGTCTGGACTAAAGTCTGCACCAGAACCTGTCTAGTCTATAGTCTGGACTAAAGTCCTGTCTATAGTCTGCACCATAGTCTAGTCTATGGTCTAACTAAAGTTTAGTCTATAGTCTAGTCAATAATCTGTACTACAGTCTAGTCAATAGTCTATAGTCTGGACTGGACTATAGTCTAGCCTATAGTCTAGTCTAGTCTATAGTCTACTCTATAGTCTAGCCTATAGTCTAGTCTATAGTCTACTCTATAGTCTAGTCTATAGTCTGGACTATAGTCTAGTCTATAGTCTGGACTATAGTCTAGTCTATAGTCTGGACTATAGTCTAGTCTATAGTCTGGACTATAGTCTAGTCTATAGTCTGGACTATAGTCTGGACTATAGTCTGGACTATAGTCTAGTCTATAGTCTGGCTAGTCTATAGTCCAGACTATAGACTAGACTATAGTCTGAACTATAGACTAGTCTATAGTCCGGACTATAGTCTGGACTATAGTCTGGACTATAGTCTGGACTATAGTCTGGACTATAGTCTGGACTATAGTCTGGACTATAGTCTGGACTATAGTCTAATCTATAGTCTGGACTTTAGTCTGGACTATAGTCTGGACTATATAGTCTAGTCCATAGTATAGACTATTGTATAGTCTATAGTATAATCTATAGTCTGGACCATAGTCTAGCCTATAGTCTGGACCATAGTCTAGTCTATAGTCCGGACTACTATCTAGTCCATAGCATAGACTATAGTCTATAGTCTGGACTACTATCTAGTCCATAGTATAGACTATAGTCTATAGTCTGGACTATAGTCTAGTCTATACTCTAGTCTATAGTCTAGACTATAGTCTAGTCTATAGTCTGGACTATTGTCTAGTTTATAGTTTGGACTACATTCTAGCCTATAGTCTGAACAATAGAAACTATAGTCCAGACTATAGTCTAGTCTATAGTGTGGACTATAGTATTGTCTATACTCTAGTCTATACTCTAGTCTCTAGACTATTGCCTAGTTTATAGTCCATAGTATAGACTATAGTCTAGTCTATAGTATAGTCTATAGTCTGGACCATAGTTTAGTCTACAGTCTTGACCATAGCTTGTAGTCCAGACTATAGACTGGACTACAGTCTAGCCTATAGTCTGAACTATAGTTTAGCTCTCCAAACAATTATCTTTCATTTAAAGATCACACACACATATGTTTGCTGGTTATTCTCCCATTTATGCTCACTTCTTTTCGTTGTCTGGGCATTGCCTGCAGAAGTAGCTAAAGAAGGAGAACTCTCCCATATATATAGGGGGGCAGTAAACAAATACAAAATACAGTTTAATTGTTTAATAAATTGTCCAATACTTTTTTTCTTTCATAAATACATTCATATTTTTCAAGTGATCGCAGTCATTTACGGACTAGTCATATATATTATGACATTATCAACCACAACAACAACAAGAACATTATTCACAAAACGATTTTGAAGACTTTTAAGTATAAAGAGTAAGAACAAGAACTAAATTACAAAGATATACATATCTACGATTTGGTAATTTTAAGTGTTGCCAATTAAATGAAATTGAAACGATTTTCAAAACGGTTTAAATCATGCATATTACTAAAGAAATTTCTGTTTTTTTTTTTTTCTTATAGTAAAGTGTCTTCTCAAGAATATTTTTCTTGGAAAATAACTACTAAAGACTCTTTTCTTATAGAAAAGTATCTCTTCAAAACAATGTCTTATTAATATACTCTTATTGTGATTCGATTAAACCGATTACTTTTTTAAAAAATGTACATCACTTTTGCTTGCAATTCTTATAAGAGGGATTTAGTTTGCATATGCATTCTATTAAATATAATTGAGTAAATAATAATTGTAAATTGTAAAATTATTATTAAGAGAACAATAATACTAATTAGCTAAATGTGATAAACAAATGAAAAAAAAATTAATTAAAACTTAAATATGAAAAACTAGTACAAAGTTTTTATAGTTTAAAAATTACTAAAACAAATAAAAGAATTATAATGAATAGTTTAAACTCTACAACAACAAAATCAAGATTATATCTAGTCTGCAATATGGGGTCAAGAGTACAGTCTAGAGTATAGACTAGTCCACCACAGCCTACAGTTTGGACTATAGACTAATATACTGTCTGAACTTTAATTTATTCTATAGTCGACTATAAAAAAGACCATAAGGACTAGAACTATAGTCCAGTTTGTAGTCTGGACTATAGTTTGGTCTATAGTCTGAACTATAGTTTGGTCTGTAGTCTGCACTATAGTTTGGTCTGTAGTCTGAACAATAGTTTGGTCTATAGTCTGGACTATAGGTTAGTCTATAGTCTGGATTATAGTTTAGTCTATAGTCTAGACTATAGTTTAGTCTATAGTCTGGACTATAGTTTAGTCTATAGTCAGGACTATAGTTTAGTCTATAGTCTGCACTAAAGTTTAGTCTATAGTCTGGACTATAGTTTAGTCTATAGTCTAGACTATAGTTTAGTCTATAGTCTGGACTATAGTTTAGTCTATAGTCCGGACTACAGTTTAGTCTATAGTTTGGACTATAGTTCAGTCTATAGTCTGGACTATAGTTCAGTCTATAGTCTGGATGGTTGTTTAGCCTATATTCTGGACTGCAGTTTAGTCTATAGTCTGGACTATAGTTAGGCTATAGTCTGGACTAAAATTTAGTCTTTAATCTGGACTATAGTTTAGTCTATAATCTGGACTATAGTTTAGTCTATAGTCTAGACTGTAGTTTAGTCTATAGTCTAGACTGTAGTTTAGTCTATAGTCTAGACTGTAGTTTAGTCGATATTCTGGACTATAGTTTTGTCAAAAGTCTGGACTATAGTTTTTTTATAGTCTGAACTATAGTTTTTTATAGTCTGGACTATAGTTTAGTCTATAGTCTGGACTATAGTTTAGTCTATAGTCTGGACTATAGTTTAGTATATAGTCTGGACTATAGTTTAGTCTATAGTCTGGACTATAGTTTAGTCTATAGTCTAGACTATAGTTTAGTCTATAGTCTGGTCTATAGTTTAATCTATAGTCTGGACTATAGTTTAGTCTATAGTTTGGACTATAGTTTAGTCTATAGTCTGGACTATAGTTTAGTCTATAGTCTGGACTATAGTTCAGTCTATAGTCTGGATGGTAATTTAGCCTATATTCTGGACTGCAGTTTAGTCTATAGTCTGGACTATAGTTCAGTCTATAGTCTGGACTATAGTTAGGCTATAGTCTGGACTATAATTTAGTCTTTAATCTGGACTATAGTTTTGTCTATAATCTGGACTATAGTTTAGTCTATAGTCGAGACTATAGTTTAGTCTATATTCTGGACTATAGTTTTGTCAAAAGTCTGGACTATAGTTTTTTTATAGTCTGAACTATAGTTTTTTATAGTCTGGACTATAGTTTATTCTATAGTCTGGACTATAGTTTAGTGTATAGTCTAGACTATAAGTTAATCTATAGTCTGGACTATAGTTTAGTCTATAGTATGGACTATAGTTTAGTCTATAGTCTGGACTATAGTTTAGTCTATAATCTGGACTATAGTTTAGTATATAGTCTGAACTATAGTTTAGTCTATAGTCTGGACTATTGTTTAGTCTATAGTCGGGAATATAGTTTAGTCTATAGTCTGGACTATAATTTAGTCTATAATCTGGACTATAGTTTAGTCTATAATCTGGACTATAGTTTAGTCTATAGTCTAGACTATAGTTTAGTCTATAGTCTAGACTATAGTTTAGTCTATAGTCTAGACTATAGTTTAGTCTATAGTCTGGACTATAGTTTGGACTATAGTTTAGTCTATAGTTTGGACTATAGTTTAAGTTATTTTAGCCTATTGTCTGGACTATAGTCTAGTATATAGTCTGCACTATAGTCTAATCTGTAGTATAGACTATAGTCTAGAATACACTGCTGTCTACAGTCTGAACTAAAAGGTGTAGCGTATCAAAATTCTTCAACTCAATTGTGACGTAAAATTTCTATTTATAATCCATTAGAAAATTTTATTAGTTTCAATTTTAAATTAGTTTGCAGGTACCAAAGTTCAGTTGTTTAGAAATATAATTGCTTTTGATAAAATAGACGAATTTTGAATTAGATGTTTGAGTTATAAAATCTAGGTCAGTGTACTATGAGTACAAAGTTTAAAATTTAGAAAATGGGGTACTTTTTAAGGGGAAATACCGCTGAATGTAATGAGTAATATTTAAATATGTATATAAAAACGTTTTTAAAGAGGAATCTGGGTCTAATGTTAACCCAGGAGACAGTGGATAGTCTTTCAACGAATAAGATTTGTAACTTTTTGGAGCTAAGAGAACCATGAGAACCATGTTCGTAAAACACCTTTTAAACCTATTGATTTTATCACTTTAAAAGTAGTTAATAAAACTTTATTTAATTACATTTTGTTAATGATAGTGTTAATTAAACAAATAATTAATAATTACTTTACGTTTCTCTATAAAATGTTCTCTAACAAAAGCAGCCATTAATTAATTACAAAATTTAACTCAAAATATTAAAATTTTATTTTCAATAAATTCTCTCAACACATGTCTTTTTCTATATAAACAAATTCTTAATTGGACTCGTAGCTGCTTAATGCATTACAATTTAACACTGTTTAATGATAATGTTGAAATGAAACTGAATAAATTATAGAAGAAATATAGAAAATGACGACACAGAAATATGTATAGTTTATAAATTTGTTTATCAGTCGGGGCTCGCGCTCTCAGCAGAGAAAACTCAATATCAATTTATATAAGAAAAGTAGGGGAATAATGTCTATTAGAGATAAGATTAGCTGATAATGAGGGCTTATAGCTGGTTGAGGGAAGTAAACGCTGTGTTATCAGTTACAAACAATATGATGGGAATTAAGAAGGCAGCAAATGGAATAAAAATAAATAAAAACAAATTGTTCTATTTTGTAAAGAAAAAATAATAATATAATTATCTGGAAACAGAAATACAAATTCTATCAAATTAACATTTCCAACAATAACAACAACAACAACAATCTTGATTAAAATTTAACCAATTTCTCTCACACATACGTTTACCTGTTGCATACGCCGGTTCAATTTCCTCCTCCGATTGCAATTGCTGTTGCTGATGTGTAGTTGGCACAGTGGGTATGGGCACTGGTATGGGCAGACGTTCATAATGTATACACTCATGATGATACTGATGATGACCATGACCATTGTGTATGGTACTGAGAGAACTATTACGTCCTCCACTGCCACCACTACCACAACCATTTAGACCACTACCGGCACTGCCGTGTCTAACGATGTGATGATGTTGATGTGTTGCCGCCTGTTCTAGGCCTCCCATACAGGGACCACTGCCAAAGACACTACCACCACTACCGCCACCCGAATCATCGGTCGTAGTGGTGGTATTGTGACAGCGACTCGAACAACGTCCCAACGAACCACTGCCGCCACTGTGAGTATGATGACCACCCGACATGCCCACTAAATGGGCGGACATATGGCCCAGGTGACCACCACCACCGCTGCCAATACCGCTTGCCATAATTGAGCCACAACCTTGGCTAGAATCGGAACCAGAATCATGACCAGGACATGGACCAGCTGATCCTGGCCTAGAGCCGATCAAACTCATAGTGGAATGTGGCGGTGTTATCGACGATGATGTTTGCATATAATGATGTGTATAAGGATGTGGATGTGGTACATCATAATCGCCCGTGTCAATAGGACCACCGGCCAACATGCCCACACTGCCACTGCTGCCGTGTACCACATTCACCAGATGTCCCGTGCTGCCCTGCAAACAGCCCATGGAACCATGGGCGCTACCGGGACCGACAGCACCATGGCTGCCATGATGGCTACCGCCACCATGTATACTACCATGAGCACTGCCGCTGCGACTGTGCAGTGATACACCTCTTGTCAACGTGTTATTGGCTGATTGTATGGAAGATACCACCGCACCGCGGCACATAATGTCTGATAGTTGATTGGCCTGTATATCAAAATATTTGGACTTTTGTAATAGGAAACACAAGAACACACATAAAATGATTTAGGCAGACGATGAAGTTTAAAGTGTGAGTTGGTCCAATGAGTGTTTTATTTTATTTTTTTTTTTTGTGTTTAACAATTAATACAAGGTTTTTCAAATAGGCATGATCCATTATTTAAACAACAAGTTTCAAATTGTGATTATGATTTCAGTTTTGGTTTTAAAGAATGCCATATGCCGGATGAAAAAATTTTGCAAAATCGGTTGGTTTTTTGGAAAAGAATGCAAAAAATATAATAGAAAATTCGTTTAACCAAATTAGTATGAAGAGAACGTTGTGAGAAAAGATGAACTAAAGGTGGTAAAAGAGGAAAAAGTGGAAAAAGGCAAGAAGATAACTAAACTCTTAATGGATTTCCAAACTTCGGCCTTAGATAAAAACATTTTTATTATTAGCCTTAAAATATGCAATACTTAAATTTTCTTTTATACAGCCTGCAAGTATTCTTTAGAAAAAAAATAAGTGAGAACTAGTACAGTTCTAGTTCAGTTCTAGTTCAGTTCTTGTTCAGTTCTAGTTCAGTTCTAGTTCAGTTCTAGTTCAGTTCTAGTTCAGTTCTAGTTCAGTTCTAGTTCAGTTCTAGTTCAGTTCTAGTTCAGTTCTAGTTCAGTTCTAGTTCAGTTCTAGTTCAGTTCTAGTTCAGTTCTAGTTCAGTTCTAGTTCAGTTCTAGTTCAGTTCTAGTTCAGTTCTAGTTCAGTTCTAGTTCAGTTCTAGTTCAGTTCTAGTTCAGTTCTAGTTCAGTTCTAGTTCAGTTCTAGTTCAGTTCTAGTTCAGTTCTAGTTCAGTTCTAGTCAGTTCTAGTTCAGTTCTAGTTCAGTTCTAGTTCAGTTCTAGTTCAGTTCTAGTTCAGTTCTAGTTCAGTTCTAGTTCAGTTCTTGTTCAGATCTAGTTCAGTTCTAGTTCAGTTCTAGTTCAGTTCTAGTTCAGTTCTAGTTCAGTCTTGTTCAGATCTAGTTCAGTTATAGTTCAGTTCTAGTTCAGTTCTAGTTCAGTTCTAGTTCAGTTCCTAGTTCAGTCCTAGTTCAGTTCTAGTTCAGTTCTAGTTCAGTTCTAGTTCAGTTCTAGTTCAGTTCTAGTTCAGTTCTAGTTCAGGTCTAGTTCAGTTCTAGTTCAGTTCTAGTTCAGTTCTACTTCAGTTCTAATTCAGTTCTAGTTCAGTTCTAGTTCAGTTCTAGTTCAGTTCTAGTTCAGTTCTAGTATTCAGTTCTAGTTCAGTTCTAGTCAGTTCTAGTTCAGTTCTAGTTCAGTTCTAGTTCAGTTCTAGTTCAGTTCTAGTTCAGTTCTAGTTCAGTTCTAGTTCAGTTCTAGTTCAGTTCTAGTTCAGTTCTAGTTCAGTTCTAGTTCAGTTCTAGTTCAGTTCTAGTTCAGTTCTAGTTCAGTTCTAGTTCAGTTCTAGTTCAGTTCTAGTTCAGTTCTAGTTCAGTTCTAGTTCAGTTCTAGTTCAGTTCTAGTTCAGTTCTTGTTCAGATCTAGTTCTGTTCTAGTTCTGTTCTAGTTCTGTTCTAGTTCTGTTCTAGTTCTGTTCTAGTTCTGTTCTAGTTCTGTTCTAGTTCTGTTCTAGTTCTGTTCTAGTTCTGTTCTAGTTCTGTTCTAGTTCTGTTCTAGTTCTGTTCTAGTTCTGTTCTAGTTCTGTTCTAGTTCTGTTCTAGTTCTGTTCTAGTTCTGTTCTAGTTCTGTTCTAGTTTGTTCTAGTTCTGTTCTAGTTCTGTTCTAGTTCTGTTCTAGTTCTGTTCTAGTTCTGTTCTAGTTCTGTTCTAGTTCTGTTCTAGTTCTGTTCTAGTTCTGTTCTAGTTCTGTTCTAGTTCTGTTCTAGTTCTGTTCTAGTTCTGTTCTAGTTCTGTTCTAGTTCTGTTCTAGTTCTGTTCTAGTTCTGTTCTAGTTCTGTTCTAGTTCTGTTCTAGTTCTGTTCTAGTTCTGTTCTAGTTCTGTTTCTAGTTCAGTTCTAGTTCAGTTCTAGTTCAGTTCTAGTTCTGTTCTAGTTCTGTTCTAGTTCTGTTCTAGTTCTGTTCTAGTTCTGTTCTAGTTCTGTTCTAGTTCTGTTCTAGTTCTGTTCTAGTTCTGTTATAGTTCTGTTCTAGTTCTGTTCTAGTTCTGTTCTAGTTCTGTTCTAGTTCTGTTCTAGTTCTGTTCTAGTTCTGTTCTAGTTCTGTTCTAGTTCTGTTCTAGTTCTGTTCTAGTTCTGTTCTAGTTCTGTTCTAGTTCTGTTCTAGTTCTGTTCTAGTTCTGTTCTAGTTCTGTCTAGTTCTGTTCTAGTTCTGTTCTAGTTCTGTTCTAGTTCTGTTCTAGTTCTGTTCTAGTTCTGTTCTAGTTCTGTTCTAGTTCTGTTCTAGTTCTGTTCTAGTTCTGTTCTAGTTCTGTTCTAGTTCTGTTCTAGTTCTGTTCTAGTTCTGTTCTAGTTCTGTTCTAGTTCTGTTCAAGTTCTGTTTCTAGTTCTGTTCTAGTTCTGTTCAAGTTCTGTTCTAGTTCTGTTCTAGTTCTGTTCTAGTTCTGTTCTAGTTCTGTTATATTTTTGTTCTAGTTCTGTTCTAGTTTCTGTTCTAGTTCTGTTCTAGTTCTGTTCTAGTTCTGTTCTAGTTCTGTTCTAGTTCTGTTCTAGTTCTGTTCTGGTTCTGTTCTAGTTCTGTTCTAGTTCTGTTCTAGTTCTGTTCTAGTTCTGTTCTAGTTCTGTTCCAGTTATGTTCTAGTTCTAGTTCTTCTTGCTCTTTTGCCACTTCCTTTCAACACCTTTACAAAATTATAGTTTAAAAAGAAGACAAAATTTATAAGAAATATTATTATTTCATTAACAAAGAGGAACAATTTACGATACCTTAGTATAAGTCCATACCTGAGGACTATCCAAACGATCCAGCGATTGACGACGCGAAGGATAATCATCCGCTGCAAACATTTGCTGTGCAGCTGGACAATTTTTATTTGAATGCTGATGTAAATACTGTTGTGATGATGTTAGAGGATGTGGTGGCGGAGGCGGCGGAGTTATAGAGCCACAAGGGCTACCGGGACAAGGACTACCCGGACACGGACTACTGCAGCGACTGCGACAGGTGGGACTGTAGCAGAGATTGGCTTGTGTACCCGAGGGTGTATTAGGACATGTATTCGAAGCATTTGTGGTTGTGGAAGGTTGTGTTACCGCCGCCGCCGCAGCAGCCGCTGTCGTGGTGGTGGTAACACAAGGTTCTTCCTCGGGCTGTTGTAGGTTGACGGGTAAAGGAGTGCATTGGGTATTACGACGCGGCGAACGACCACGATCCACCGTGGTAGCACTCCAATAACCCCAAGCCATATTTGCGAAAAGTTATGTTTTAGCAGCAGTTAAACTTTTTAGTATTGAATTCTTTTTTTTTTTTTTCTTTTGTTTTTCGATTCTTAAACTAAGTAGCAAAATTCCTTGAGTTCATTTAGTTTTCTTTTATTTTGTTGGTTTTTTTTTTTTTTTTGTTAATTTTCTTTTTATTTAGTTTAATTATTAATTTAAGTTGTCATTTTCACAACTGTTAAGGGGTTTTCTTATTGTGAAAAACCACACCTTTTTTTTGGGTAGACTAATAATTGTGTAATATTTCTGCTTTTGGCTTTTATTTTCTATAGATATAAAAATGCAATTACAAAACAACACTCACAAAACTTTAAAAAAATCACATTTTGTCCATCTTGGCACTTAAACCACTTTTTCTTATGCATAAATTTTTTTTGCTGATTTTTTTTCTTAAAAATTTTCACTTTATTCTTTTCTTTTCGTCCAACATAAGTAACGAAACGAAACCAAGAAATGTTACTAAAAAAGTTATAAAATAAAATAATAATGTTAAGCATAAATCTTTTACAGATGGAAATCAGGGAAATCTTTTTTTATAATTCAGCTTTCTTTCTCTTTACAAATATTCAAGTAGTTTTCATTTGGTTGGATACCTTCCTTTAATACACATTCACTGATGTGACTGGTGATAAATGATTACAATGAACAAGTTAGTACACAGACCAAAGGAGGAAAGATGTTGGTGCTGTTGAGGATGACGATGGCAAAGGAGAGGAGCAAGTATAAAAATTTTGCGGTTGGCAAAGTCAAAAGTATAAGAAGAGTTACAATTCGAACGATTAATAATGCATTGCAGATGTTATTACTGTTTTTTTTATATTTTGTTATTGCTGCTCCTGCTACTCCTGCCGCTACCTCAACCGCTTTCGTTATTGTTGTAGTTGTTGTTGAGCCGATTTTTATGTTAGTGGATGGAAAAATCCGTAACATAACACTTGCACACAGTGTTGTAAAGGAATGTCAAATGAAAAAGTCAACATTGTGATAAAAAACAAACACTTACACGGTCTCCAGAGAGAAAGTGGGAGAGTTAAAGTAAAATTATCCCCCTAAAAAGTTTCACTATTTAAATGAGCCAGAGAGAAAAAATAGTTAAAGTGAGAATGAGCAAAGAAAGTTGAAGTGAGGGCATGTGCTTATAGAAATTGCAGAAAGTTATGAAGTTTTTAAGAATTTTGTACTTTTTTTTTAGCAGGAAATTGAAATTTTTATAGAAAACTTGAAACTTAATTAGTATGGAACGTGAACAGAACTAGAACAGAACTAGAACAGAACTCTAGAACGAAGAACTAGAACAGAACTAGAACAGAACTAGAACAGAACTAGAACAGAACTAGAACAGAACTAGAACAGAACTACAGAACTAGAACAGAACTAGAACAGAACTAGAACAGAACTAGAACAGAACTACAGAACTAGAACAGAACTAGAACAGAACTAGACTAGACAACCAGAACTAGAACAGAACTAGAACAGAACTAGAACAGAACTAGAACAGAACTAGAACAGAACTAGAACAGAACTAGATCAGAACTAGAACAGAACTAGAACAGAACTAGAACAGAACTAGAACAGAACTAGAACAGAACTAGAACAGAACTAGAACAGAACTAGAACAGAACTAGAACAGAACTAGAACAGAACTAGAACAGAACTAGAACAGAACTAGAACAGAACTAGAACAGAACTAGAACAGAACTAGAACAGAACTAGAACAGAACTAGAACAGAACTAGAACAGAACTAGAACAGAACTAGAACAGAACTAGAACAGAACTAGAACAGAACTAGAACAGAACTAGAACAGAACTAGAACAGAACTAGAACAGAACTAGAACAGAACTAGAACTAGAACAGAACTAGAACAGAACTAGAACAGAACTAGAACAGAACTAGAACAGAACTAGAACAGAACTAGAACAGAACTAGAACAGAACTAGAACAGAACTAGATCAGAACTAGAACAGAACTAGAACAGAACTAGAACAGAACTAGAACAGAACTAGAACAGAACTAGAACAGAACTAGAACAGAACTAGAACAGAACTAGAACAGAACTAGAACAGAACTAGAACAGAACTAGAACAGAACTAGAACAGAACTAGAACAGAACTAAAACAGAACTAGAACAGAACTAGAACAGAACTAGAACAGAACTAGAACAGAACTAGAACAGAACTAGAGCAGAACTAGAACAGAACTAGAACAGAACTAGAACAGAACTAGAACAGAACTAGAACAGAACTAGAACAGAACTAGAACAGAACTAGAACAGAACTAGAACAGAACTAGAACAGAACTAGAACAGAACTAGAACAGAACTAGAACAGAACTAGAACAGAACTAGAACAGAACTAGAACAGAACTAGAACAGAACTAGAACAGAACTAGAACAGAACTAGAACAGAACTAGAACAGAACTAGAACAGAACTAGAACAGAACTAGAACAGAACTAGAACAGAACTAGAACAGAACAAGAACAGAACTAGAACAGAACTAGAACGGAACTAGAACAACTAGAACTAGAAACTAGAACTGAACTAGAACTGAACTAGAACTGAAATAGAACTGAACTAGAACAGAACTAGAACAGAACTAGAACAGAACTAGAACAGAACTAGAACAGAACTAGAACAGAACTAGAACAGAACTAGAACAGAACTAGAACAGAACAGAACAGAACAGAACAGAACTAGAACTAGAACTAGAACTAGAACTAGAACTAGAACTAGAACAGAACTAGAACTAGAACTAGAACAGAACTAGAACTAGAACAGAACTAGAACAGAACTAGAACAGAACTAGAACAGAACAGAACTAGAACAGAACTAGAACAGAACTAGAACAGAACTAGAACAGAACTAGAACAGAACTAGAACAGAACTAGAACAGAACTAGAACAGAACTAGAACAGAACTAGAACAGAACTAGAACAGAACTAGAACAGAACTAGAACAGAACTAGAACAGAACTAGAACAGAACTAGAACAGAACTAGAACAGAACTAGAACAGAACTAGAACAGAACTAGAACAGAACTAGAACAGAACTAGAACAGAACTAGAACAGAACTAGAACAGAACTAGAACAGAACTAGAACAGAACTAGAACAGAACTAGAACAGAACTAGAACAGAACTAGAACAGAACTAGAACAGAACTAGAACAGAACTAGAAAGAACTAGAACAGAACTAGAACAGAACTAGAACAGAACTAGAACAGAACTAGAACAGAACTAGAACAGAACTAGAACAGAACTAGAACAGAACTAGAACAGAACTAGAACAGAACTAGAACAGAAATAGAACAGAACTAGAACTGAACTAGAGTGGTCCTTTAGACTGACATTTGTCTGCGGTCCTCTATTGACTTCAGACTGGTACCATTTTCGATTGTCCATCTCTATAACTTTGGAGAAATAACGAAATAATTTTGGGAGTAAGGCAAGGAAAACGGAGAATAAGAGATTAAATAACCCGATGCTCAGCTTAAAACAGCAAGAGAGGAGAACAAGAGAAACAGCAATACAAGTGTGAGACTTATAAAACATAATTAAATATTAATAAATATAAAAATTACAGCAATTTAAAAAAGAAAAAATAATAAATTTAAGAAATAGATTTTAAAGATTTAAAATCATAAACTTTATAAAATGATAAAGAAAATTTTTAATATATTTTAAAAAACTAGAACAATTTATAGTTTTAAACTTAATTACTTTGAACAAATTTATGTTGTAACTTTTTTGGACCAACTAAGAAAAACTCGCAGCCTTTTTTTCGTTGTCCAAAAAAAACATTTTATCTTAATTGCCAATTTTTTTCTTGTTCTTTGTACTTTTTGTCTGTTTTGTTCGTTTAGCTTCATTGGCATCGTTTATATCCAGGTTAATATAACAATTGACGTCAAAACCTTCAAATAACTGCTGCTCTTACACCAAAATGAACAAAAGTTTTGAACAAAAAATATGAAAAAATACCGAATACAACAAATATTCGTAAACAAAGGACTAAATGAAGAAAAAATATCCCTCAATCACCAGAAAAGTATGCAGCAATTATGTTAAATGCTGTTTTTTTTTTTTGTGTATAAATTACATGGCAAATACCCCCCTCTTTTAACAAAAATGACAAGAAAAAAAAACTTAAGCTTTAGAATAAATAACAGAAATCGAGAGAAAAATAAATAATGCATGTGCACACAATATTTATTATAAAATAAAAAACTTGTAAAGCAAAAAAATTGAATAATGATGATTAAGTGATGTAAAGATCTAGTTCAGAAAATATTTTATTGAAAAGTTAAAAGCGAAAAAAAAACATTGAATGGTTACCAAAAAAAAAACGAGGAAATAGCTAAAAAACACAATAGCAAAAAGAGCAGCAGTAGTTTAAATAATGCTGCAGCCTTTAAGTAGGCAATATATTTTCAACATCAAAAACAAGCGAAAGTAGGCATTACATTTGTACAACAGACAACAATAACAACAACAGCAGCAAATTATGTTTAAACGACCTTTACAAATAGTTAATACGGCTGGTAAAGAAAGTACTTCATATTTAGTTTTTAAATGAATTATTCTTGCATGACTTTGGGTAGGAAATTTAAAGATAGTCTACTTTTAGGGTTTGAAATGAAGACATAACATTCTCAAACTCGCCTTAAAGAAAAATCACTTTAAATCTTATAACTCTTTTCTAAAGAAACCTTTCTTAACAAGAAACTTTTCTAAAGAAAACTTCCTTAATAAGAAGCTTTTCTAAAGAAAACTTTCTTTAGACAAGAAGCTTTTCTAATGAAAACTTTCTTTAGACAAGAAGCTTTTCTAAAGAAAACTTTCTTAACAAGAAAGAAAACTTTCTGGAGACAAGAAACTTTTCTAAAGAAAACTTTCTGGAGACAATAAACTTTTCTAAAGAAAGCTTTCTTGACAAGAAGCTTTTCTAAAGAAAACTTTTTTGAGGCAAGAAGCTTTTCTAAAGGAAACTTTCCTTCTTTAATCAATAAACTTTTCGAAGGAGACAAGTTCTATTGAAAACTTTTGTATAGAAAACTGTTTTCCAAAGACACTTTTCTACAGAAAACTGTTGTTCAAAGATACTGTTCTATAGAACTGTTGTTCAAAGACACTTTCCTATAGAAAACTGTTTTCCAAAGACACTTTTCTACAGAAAACTGTTGTTCAAAGATACTGTTCTATAGAACTGTTGTTCAAAGACACTTTCCTATAGAAAACTGTTTTCCAATGACACTTTTCTACAGAAAACTGTTTTC